CAGAATGTCCTGAAAACGCATCAGGATGAAGTATATAGTGGGAAAGTTTGAGGTAATGATACTGACACAACCAGTAAAAAGGAAAGTGCTTGCCAAGTTCATCGAGTCACATTTTTCTTGATTTTGGCACTGATCTCAAGAAATAAATCAAAGTGGAGTTCAATGCAAACCAGTTACAAAGTATTTATAAAGTGACTGGAATGGTTGTTTAGGGACATTTCTCATAAGCTAGTGATTTTGGCACTAATATAAAAAGTGAATCAAAGAGCACATGGTTCTTCCACCTCAAGGAGAGGCTCAGGACTGATCGTCCAGGGAAGTTACCAAATATGGTGACTTGTTCCATACAGAGTTACACCTAGAAAATGTAAAAGGACCACAATCTGTCTGAGCATTACTTACCTGCTGCTGCTGTATTGTTCTTAAGCGTGTGACTGTTCATGGGCGAGGCTGCGTGACGACAACATCGCGTGTCACCAAAAACAAGAATCATTTCTGAGAAACTGAAAGTTATCTTCAACAATAAAGTAAGCACAGCAGCTTCACCTGAGAGATGTTCATCATTATTTAACCTTTGAGCAAGTCAAGAGTTTTTTTAAGAGAAATTTCAGTATAATTTTGGGTACATAACTATTGCATTCCTCATTAGACATATCAATACTCAATACTGATCAGAGCAGAAAGATAAAGTTAAATTAATTATTTGTCTTTGGGCTATATTGAAGATGTTGTCTGTGAAGATTCCCAGTCATCCAGGTTGTGGTTGTTCTGGTAGATTAATCGTAGCAACTGGACTTGCTTGAGTTCCTTGAAGATGTTTCACCTCTCATCCAAGAGGCTTCATCAGCTCTGACTGACTAGTTGGGAGTTCCAGATACTTACATCCTCCACCTGAGTATCGGTTTCAATTTGGGGTTTGTTGCTCCTCCCCCTCGTTATGTGAGTCGTTAGTGCTCCCCCTGCTACAATGGGGTTCATTAGGGTCTTTTGTGGCTACGTGTGAAAGTGGTTTCATCTTCCTGGGGAGAGATCTTAGGACTGAATTGTAAACAGGTGAGAGGTGATGCCTCAGACCTCCACCTCTGTTGAGGGATGGTCTTTCCAGTTAGATGGCTTCTTTCACCCCTCTCTCAAACCATCTGTCCTCCTTGGTCAAAATCTACACGTTGTTGTCTTCAAATGAGTGTCCTTTGCCTTTAAGATGCAGGTGGACTGCTGAGTCCTGTCCTGAGAAGCTGGCTCTTCCACAATCACATGGCTCAGCACAGAAGATTCAGCTTCTCAGAGACGACAACGGGCAGATTTTGACCAAGGAGGCCATCTATGTAAAACTGGAAAGACCATCCCTCAAAAGAGGTGGAGGTCTGAGGCATCACCTGTTTACAACTCAGTCCTAAGATCTCTCCCCAGGAAGATGAGCAGGAGGAGCAACAAACCCCCAACTGAAACCGAAACTCAGATGTTAATGGATCCTTTAGGATATAAGTATCTGGAACTCCCAACTAGTCAGTCAGAACTGATGAAGCCTCTTGGATGAGAGGTGAAACGTCTTCAAGGAAATCAAGCAAGTCCAGCTGTTACGACTAATCTACCAGAATACTGAAGATGTTGCAATCAGGTGTTTTGCTTGGATGCATGTTGGTGTTTGTCTCCCCCTGCTGACAAGAGGAAGGATCCACAAATATTTCCCATCCTTTTTAAATTCCTCTGGTGAAGTCAAATGTTGACTTTCTGTAAAATAACCTCAAGCACACTATTCGGTCTTCCTCTTCATTCTAAATCTAGATTGTCGGTCAGAAAATGAAACTTCTTGCACCTCTGCAGGCCAATAAATCATATAAATAAAGAGGGAACCACTAGTGTTTTTAAAACAGTCATTTTTTACTTTAATCTTGAAACAGAGCAACGATCTGGGACATTTGCTTCAGTTTTACCCAGATTTCACACCTGACAGCAGCATTGGTGTCACTGGATCCCAACTTGCTTCGCACGCATTCACGGAACAGGAAGTGCATCAATAATCAATAACAGCAGACATCATGACAGAGTTCGACAGACAGGCAGGCAAGAACACGGAGACACTGAACTTTCGGCACTTTGGGAGCAAGTAGCAGAATTTTAAATTGCACGCGGTGGAATTAAACAAGAGCTCAAATGTGTCTCTGTTGTCGTGAACGAGAAGAAATATTAAATAAAGTACCATTTTCTGAATTTACACTTTACTCAATTTGCAATCTTACATTCTTATACATGAATCAATCAACCACATGTACAACATAGATGTAACAACGACATGCAAAACAGACACAAAAAAAAGAAAGAACAGCAACATAGAAAAAGGCACCAGTGTTACTCTGAAACACAAAGACGAGCATTAAAGTGCACAAATCCACAGACACGGCATGAAAGTAAAGTTATTATCAAAAATAGTCTCAATTCACTTGATGTGTCCTCAGTATCCTGGTGTCCTCATAATAATCTGATAGATATTTTAATAGTTCTAATAAATATTATTTATTTGCTTGATTTTTATTTTGATATGGCTTTTTGCCTTTTACAACATCTATAAATGTAAAAATATGTCTGTGTGGGAAATAATACTAGACGTAAAGAAAACAACAAAATAAATCTTTAAATATAAACAGCAATGAGCACCACTTTCAAAATATACAGCCTTTATAAAGGGTTTAGAAGTTGTACTTAATGTCTTTAATGATGGCTAATAAATAATTTACTAACACTTTATGGAATACTAATAAGCCTTTACTGATAACTACTTTGAGGTTATCAGGCTGTCAGGGATTCCCTACTCTTTGTAAATGGTAAATGGACTGTACTTATATAGCGCTTTTCTACCTTAGCGGCACTCAAAGCGCTTTACAATGTGTTTCCTATTCACACACATTCAAACACCGATGGAGCTGCCATGCAAGGTGCCGCCTGCCATTGGGAACAACTTCGGGTTCAGTGTCTTGCCCAAGGACACTTGGACTGCGGAGGGATCAAACCGCCAACCTCACCATCAGAGGACAACCACTCTACCACCTGAGCCACAGCCGCCCTCATGTGTGGCAAAAATGCAGCTACAAATGTTGGTCTTCTATTAATAAGTGCTTAATAAATGTTGGTCTAGATCCTCTACAGTCCATTTCTACAACGTATGTGGTCGTTGGGTCCAATCAGTCAAAGAAATGTTTAATAACCTGGAAAACCAGACAGTGTTTGATTAATAGTGAATCCAAAAGAATAAAGTCATTAAGGTACAACTTGTAAACTGTTAATGGATAAAATAACCATTTGAAATGTCATTAAGTGTTAATGAAATAACGTTTTTGATTCACCTAATGATATTATATATATTATATTGCATCAACTGGGCTTTATTACATTTTCAGCCCAGGACATTTTTAATCATATTTTGATTATATAAATCATTTTCCAGCAGATATAACACCACGATGCCGACACTAAACGCTCCTCTTGTCTCCTGTGTTTCTCCACAGCAGCTACTTGGGCGCAGAGCAAGTCTCTTTGTTGCTTATTCCTTTTTTTGGAACTCTCTGAGCTATCCCATAGGGCACGTGGCACGCCACTGTCCCCATTTCCGCTGCCCCCTCCACATGGAACATCTGGTCATCAAAGAAGATGTGCGGCCTGATCTTCTCCAGCATCGGGCCCTTGGGTGCCCCTGCGAGGAAGAGAGCTTCGTCGATCTCCAGACCCCACGAGCGCAGAGTTTTTAGGGCTCTGGTGCCGGAGCTGGCCGCGCTGCGAGCCGTCACCAGGTAGGTCCGGATGGGGCAGTCCATGCGCTGGCCTTTGCCGTAAAACTTCTTCTGTAGCTTTCCTAAAGCCTCCAGGAAGCACTTGAGTGGCCCCTGCAGAAAGAAGGAAGGATACAGGACAGTGAACAGAACGTTTGAACCCCTCAAAGCAAAACTCATGGGAGCAAAAATGCACATTTTGACATTTTTTTCACAAAAACAATCGCTTAATTGCTTAGATGTAACTTTACACTGTAGTAAAAGTCCACACTGCTCTGTCCTCCCACCCTACCACTACTTACTACAACTCGAGCACACCAGCTCACCTACATCTCTGTTGAAACACTATAAAACTGCTCTAGGCTACACAACAGCAAGCTGTAACAAAGGAGACATTCAACCATGTTTCTGAGAGAGTCACGCTGCAGCTTTAAGGTGGAAAAGCTCAACCATGGTGTTGACTGCTTATTTCTGTTCATGATGTACCTCTCAGTATATACACACACCATACGGACACATTACAGATGTACTCATAACCTCCCATCAAAGAAGGAAAAAATCAGCTGAAATAAGTTGAAACTGACAAAAGAAATAATAAATTTAAAAATGAATGAATATCATGACATTGCTTTTCAATTGTGGTTCAACAGAAATATTTAAACAACAACAAGCAAACAAGCATGATGGGACCATAAACTAATATTTTGTTGAACAACCCTTTGAGCCAATCACTGCAGTCAGGTGTTTCCTGTAACTCTCAGTCAGACTTCTGCACCTGTTGACAGGTGTTTAGATTTCACTGCTCATCAGCAAAGTGCTGTAATTTCTCCAGGACAGTTTTGTTTGTTTGTTTGTTTTAAAATTATTCTTTTCAACCACAATTCAAAAGCAATGTCTTATTTCATTAAATTATAATTTAGCAAATTTTTGTTTATTATTATTTTTTTCAGTTTCTAGTTATTTGAGTGACTGTTGTGAATTTTGGCTTTTCTTTAATGGAAGGGTATGAATACATTTGAGGACGACTGTAGGAAAAAAGAAAGAAAAGTTTTAGTCTACCAGCTAGTCTCTAATGGCTTTTATAATATTAACACGATATCAAGTTAGGTCTGAAAACGTGGTGACTTTACCAAAAGACAGTTAGTAGAATGAAAAAAATCTGAGCAAACAAAAAAAGAAACAAATTTGGGTGAAATTCTCAATTAAACCATTTCCATCCATGTAGGACCAACTTCTTTGTTCATCTTTGAACTATGGCACTCAATAAAGTTGTACGTTTGGCCACTGTGACTTCACTTCTGGTCTTAAATGTAAATTTGAAAAAAAAAAAGTGTGCCATTTTGTGTGTACAAGTTTACTAGAAGGGAAAGTAAGTATTCTATCCATTCATTCAATTTATGGCTGCAAAGTGGCGCAGCAAGAAGGTCGCCAGTTCACATCCCGGTGAGGACACCCGGGATCTTTCTGCGTGTTCTATGTTCTCCGGCTTCCTCCCACACAGTCCAAAAACATGTTGAGGTTAATTGGTGATTCTAAATTGTCCGTAGGTGTGAATGTGAGTGTGCTTGGTTGTCTGTCTGTAAGTGTAGCCCTGTGATAGACTGGTGTCCTGTCCCCCATGACCCTAGTGAGGATAAGCGGTGTATAGATAATGGATGGATGGATGTATACTGTACATGGTCCAGAGGCTTGTTTTCATGCGCCTTCTCGTGCTCGAAGAACTTGTCCAGTCCGTGGGCCTTGTAAATACGTTCGGACTCATCTGAGAAGAGGACGGCGTCTCCATCGAAGGCAACACGCAGCTGAGTCTCCGACACCTCCGTCATCTTGTCCGGGGTGAACATCGTGGCTGCTGCTATACCTGATTCACACACAAAGACACAGATTGTGCGGTGCGCTGAGTTTGAACCTTATGCGTTTGTGGCGGGGTTAGACCAAGGGGGGAGTGGGGCGTAGGAGAGAGAGTAATCCGTAAGCTGTACCAGTATCTAGAGAACCCGACAACGCCACCTGGGGACTCTCACCCCAGGAACTACAAGTCAAATGTGAACTACCGCAATTAGTCACACAGGTCACACAAGTTCGTTTACTAAGGGAAGACAGAGACGTGGTTCAAATTCAAAGCAATTGCAGTTTATTGAATATTTGGTGGAATTGTTGATTAGTACTAGATTTCTGGAGTGCCTGCGGGAGAAGCCACCTAAAAGCCAGTACAAAAACAAATCAAACCATTTGAAATGTACAAAGATATTTATTTAATAAATGTAATTCTGTTTAACAATAAAACTATTTTAAAACAAAGGACACTTCCAGAATAAAATGAACCTGGAGAGGGAGCAAAGTGGATGGAAGCCAGCGGGGGGAGAGAGGTGATCAATTACTTAAATATCCAGAGGTGAAACAAACCACCAACCACTCGTGAGCGCACAGCAATCTGTCAGGACTACCACACCGGTGTAAGATCAGGTGCCCCAGTGCTCTTACCACTGCAAGCTGTGAAAGAAAACCACACAATGTCCAACCTCCACCACCAGCCGGCAACCTTGTCCACCAGCTTATGGGAATTGTCATAAAAACCAGTTCGTTCACTCTAAAATGCGACCACTAGGCTAACATAGCCAAACTAAAACAGGCAAGGACAAAACAGAGGCAACCAAGAGCAAACAAAGGCAAAACAGCAGCTGATAACACCCTACAACACAACAGAAGACATTACGTGTTAATAACAGGTTTATAACATGATTATAACATGGTTATAACAACTACCTTTTAACAGTCACCCTTCTTAACTACTGAGCAGATTATTCCTACCTTGATGTAACAGTCTTTGTTATATGGATACTAGGGGAATCAGCAATGTCCACATTAAGCCAAGGCAGGCAAGCTTGGCATAAACCTCAACCATCAGACACCAGTACGCAGGGAAGACTGTCAAATGAATGTCACCATCATGAAAATGAATTAAGGCTTGAAAACAGTCAAAACCCTGTCCACAATCCACACAACGCACCTACCTCAGAGTCACCAGCAGCCCATGTGGCACTCAAGCAGACACAAAAGGGCAGCCATGATGCCACAGGTGCTTTAAATACCCTCAATCAGGGGCTGGGCAATGGGAGGAGCTGCAACCTACATCTGATGGTGTGTTCAAGGGCCATCTGGAAATACCAAACTTTCCAGACAGATGCTCCCACTACACGTTGTTTTAAAAATGAAGTGCTTAAGAGGAGCCTGCTCTCTCTTCGTACTCACCTTCCTCCAGAGCTTCTCGAACCTTGACTGGATCAGCAGACAGGTACAGATTGGTGTGGTAGGCCTTCAGGTAGCCTATGGGACTGTTTCCTCCAGTCATACAGAAGCGCTCGATGAACAGCTCTGCAGAGAATAGAAGTCATCAGAGACTGAGGGAGCAAAATACCGAGTGTAGCTGATAAGCACACAAGAAGATCACTATCAGGGATGCAGTTCTGGGAAGATGTTTTTGTGAGGAACTGATGACTTCTGGGTTTATTTTACAACACACAGTCAAATGTTGCTGCTTCCAGAGAGATTTTTCCAACCTGAGAAAGTTTCTACAGTCTTAGCAAATGACAGCAAAGGAAGAAGAAACAGGGCTGACTGGGGGCATGAAATCTATTTTATATTATTTTATCATCAGTTATCCAGAGTGACATGAAAGAAAAGAGACATTTTTCCAGGGTGTGAGTCTGCCAAATCCCTGCGAAGAGCCAGAACTGTACATCCCAAACTCCCCTCGTTTACCCTCGGGGGTCATATTGCAGCGTGTGGAGCATGAGAAAGCTCCCACTATAAAAACTGTTCAGAGGGACCAGAGCGACCCTTTAACCTGAGCCGACACGCAGGGATCACAGGGGAAGCAAACAGCTTTAGCCAGACAGTGAAGCACCACAGCACAAGAGATCCACAGATTACAGCCGGTTCCTCTCCTCATCTCTCTGTCGTCATCTTATTTGGTCAACAGAGGATTCTGCGATGCTTTCTGTGCAACCTGGGGGACGACTCGGGTCGTAAAGTCGCTGGCAGTGTGGGAACAGGGAGGAGGAGCAGCAGTGGACGCTGTCTCGGGTCTGTGTTTCTAAGTGCTTCAACAGATCACTAAATGAAAACCTAAGCGTTTTTCAGCTGTTCCATTTACAACCTCTTAAGTGAAAAGGTGAGCCTGGAAACAGCCCACTCAGCAGGACGGCGCTAAAGCTGGATCAGTAGCTGACTGAGCCTCCAGTATTAAAACAGAACTGTATCAACAAGCACTGGCTGAAGTGATGAAATCAGCCTCTCAACAAGTCAGAAAACAAAATGTGAGTCAAGTTAAGTCGCCGTTATTTATATATATGTGGCACATTTGAAACAACCAACGTTGAGCAAAAGTGCTTTCCAGGAGACAAATAAGACTGCTTTTGCAAAAGTACCTAATAAGTTTAAATGCTAAGGCTAAAACCCGACAGTAATCGTTTATTATGTGAATCTACCTGAATAATTTTAATATTACAGTTATAAATATTGCAGTCAGAACTCTACATAGTTAGATATAATGCAAATTAGCCTGAACCT